ATATCAATGGTTATTTTGGTTTTCCATCGCGGCACTCGTTTGATATTACCATGAACACGCGGTATTATACCATTCGTTTCCAATGATTTCTGACGTTTTCGAAGTGCGTGCGACCTATTCCTAACATATTGAGATACGTTTTCTGGCAAAGAGCTGTATTACGATCTCAATAGTAAAATGTTCGCTTATTAGTACGCATTTTCTTTTTAAGACGTCGGCTAGCAGTTATTTCTCCACCATTCATTGCTTTCAACTGGGCCATTAGAAATATATCTTGTTCGGATCTTGAGAGGGCTTGAAACGCCTCACGTAATTCAGCAAACCTCTCTCTCGGAATCTTTTTTGAGCAACCACAATTGCAACCTATCTCCAAGAAACGTATTGCCTTTTCATATTCAGCTGAAGCACTATATTCACTATTTTTCATATACGGGTATTCCTATATACATAGTATACTATTACTTTTGTAGCAGCCTGCATGTACACAGAAATCGCCCCTTGTGCGATACACACAATCTCGTGATCGATGGTATTTCATAGACTCGCGCCATCCTTTTCTTTTCGACTCGATGGATTTTTACAAAAGTAGAGCAGTTGAAGACTGGACTTGCAAAAACCTTGTAGAGTTTTATCGTATTACTTCAGGACAGAAAGACCGGAAAAAATTGCTGGATAGCATAAACAAAGATCTTAAAAAAGTCAAAGAAGCAAGCTCTGAATTTGACCCGACGCGTAAGAGAAAAGCCCAAAGAATCATTGACAACTGGAAAGTATGGGTTTTTCTTAATAAGATAGAGATTTACAAGTTTAGGGAAAAGCTGTGACTCTTGGTCTACAGTTATGAACTCTTGGTTCTTCCCGGGTGCAAGCTGTGACTCTTGGTCTACAGTTATGAACTCTTGGTTCGACACTTAAGAAAGTGCAAGCTGTGACTCTTGGTCTACAGTGAGGAACTCTTGGTTCGACGCTTTCTTTGCTTGTATTTATGTTTATTGTACAATTTTTATTTATGTTTATTGTATAATGTTTCTTGCGAGTGCCGCTAATTCTGCATTCTTATGTATCAAGGATTGGACTATGATGGGCGATGATACAGGTTTCAAGTTCGAGTTTCATCAGGTACGCTTCTAACTGAAAATTTCGTAGAAACAACATGAGTATAACGTTTTCAATTAGGTTCAACAACAAGTGCTTGCGACTGGTCATACTGTGTCTATTGATAATATCGATAATCGTCGTCTAACTGGAAAACATCACCGAGATGATGGAGAAGAAATAGCGGATGAAGCAGATGTAACCCCGCCGAAGAAGACGAAAAAAGTGAGGCCACTCTTGAACCAACTGTTCGGGAATAAAATAACCTACTAAAACGGTCTGTGTAATTACGCAATATAACTTGAATTTTTATTCACAGTATTTTTTTTCTATCGTTCGGATGTACGCAGGCAAAAACTAGTGATAATTGGAAAGACAATGATGCCGCAGCAATTGATGCAGAAGAAATTTCCGATTCAGACGACGCTGATGCTGAACCGAATAATACAGAAATTGAGAATCTCAATCAAGTACTGTGGCACTTGTATATGAAAATAAACTAATCTCTGTCCAACATTCTAGGAAGTAAATAATTTGAATGACACTGAGGTGTCCATTCGAAATATTTTACTTGATGTTCTCAACCAACGTAAATCTAGGGATTTAGAATCGGAAAAAACTTTCATGAATTCAACATTCCTTAACGGTATAATTGATTTAACAGATCCAGATATGAGGCGACAAATAAAATCGACATTGCATGAAGAACAACAATCATGGTTAGATCAGGTATTAAGGAAACAAGCTTGGAAGCCAACACCCGAGTTCAAGGAGTACTGTGACCAGTTCACAGATGATGCATGCAATCATGTCCAAGTCCCTAATTTAGTCTGAAAGTCCTTCGTTAAAGGACGGTTTGATCCCTTTTTTGACGAAGGGCATGATATCGCACAAGATATAATGAAACATTTGTATGTATTTTTGCTTTATTTGAGGCCAAACTTTCTGAAAGGTTACTGATATCAATTGTCAATAGCTCATTACGTTTGGAAGCCCCAAGCAATATAGAGTCAAAAGCATTGGATCTGGAAAGGACATTTGCCATTGATACAATTGTATACATTGTTAATAGGCTCTTCAAAATGCATCAAGATGAAGTGGATTTAGTTTGGTAAATGTCAATTGTGCATTCAATACTCGAATTATATTGCCTATTAATTACCCTACACCTATACTCAATTCAGGATCGAAATTCTCACTCCCAATACAAGTAAATGCAAGATCGATGGAGTCATGAAGGCTCTTCTGACGAAGCAAACTCATCAAACACTGGTGTTATTTGAGTTTTCCTTTGGTAGAAAGGCCCCTATGTCCAAAGATTATGAAGATAGAGTGAAGTTGTGTCGCAACTCCACGAGAATTTTAAACAAAATGCTCAAAAAAACTCCTTGTAACAAGGTGCGGGTGTACACAGTTCAAAATGTGAGTGAGTATTGGCATCGCATTAACATGTAGTTGGTAAAAAAAAGTTTTTATTTATATAATATTTCTGTAAGATGAACGGATGTACATACGATACATGGTTCGACCTCTCCCATCAATATACCTGTACAAGGAGTTCGCATGTACAATCAGACCTCTCTAAATGCACGTCGTCGGGACCGACGATGCGCTTGCATTTATGGAGGGCATGCATTTAGAGAACGCCAATCATTTTGTTTCACGTGACCTCTTCGCATAATATACTAATATTAATACTATGCCTGAATGCATAATGAACATTTAAGGTTTCAACTGAGAGAAAAGGATCCAAGTATTAATGCAAAGGAGTCTTCTTTTTTTCAAATTA